TTAAAAAACACCGTGTAAGGTGGTTCTGAGGTGAGAGCCCTAAGCTCTGACACCTGCCTGGCCGAGGTAATGGCCACGAGGAAAGCTACCTTATAGGACAGATGTATCAAAGAGCATGAAGCCAGGGGCTCGAACGGGGGCTTCATAAGGGCAGTCAGGACCAGGTTAAGGTCCCAAGCTGGTACCGCTGTCGACTCCCTTTAGAAATCTTTTAACCAAGGGATTGGCAAAGATAGACCTTTGGCCCCCCCCCGGCGTGGAAGGCCACTATGGTCGCCAGGTACACCCTTAGGGAGGCTGTGGCCAGGCCCTGTTTCCGCAGGTGGAGAAGGAATTCCAGGACAGTCGGAACCGCCCCTTCACCTGGAACGAGCGTCCTGCTCTCCAGCCAGGAAGTAAACCTCTTCCACTTAGCCTCGTAAAGGGCTCTAGTGGACGGCTTTCTGCTTTCTAAGAAGACCTCCTGGACTGCTCTGGAGCAGGTCCGCTCCATCACTGAGAGCCACTGAGGAGCCACGCTGCTAGGTGGAGAGATGGAAGGCTCAGGTGGAGTGCCACCCCGGCCTCGCAGCTCTGAGTGATTAGATCTGGCACTAGGGGTAGCCTGAGCGGGCCCTCCACAGCCAGATCCAGCAAGGTGGTGAACCAGTACTGTCGAGGCCATACTGGCGCTATCAGGATGATCCGAGCCCTGAACCTCTGCACTCTGAGGAGTGTGTCGTGGATCAGAGGGAACGGGGGGAAGGCATAGAGTAGGCCCCTGGAACAGCTGATCAGCAGTGCATCTCCCCGAGAGCCCAGACCGTGCCCCATGTACGAACAGAACTCCCTGCACTTGGTGTTGCTCAGAGTTGCAAACAGGTCCAGGCGGGGAAACCCCCACCTTTGGAAGACCCCGTGAAGTACATCCCCCCTTAGCACCCACTCGTGTGCCTGGATCGAACGGCTGAGCCTGTCTGCTAGCCCGTTCCTGGTTCCCGGAAGGTGAGATGCCTCCAGGAAAATACCGTGGGCTATACACAGTTCCCATAGATCTAGGGCTTCCCGGCACAGGGGAGAGGAATGCGCCCCACCCTGCTTGTTGATATAGAACATGGCCGTAGTGTTGTCTGTCAGCACCGCCACCACTCTGTTCTGTAAGTGGGGAAGGAACGCCCTGCAGGCCAACCAGACCGCCCGCAGTTGCTTGATATTTATATGGAGGTGAGCCTCCTCTGTTGGCCACGTACCTTGCATCCTGAGGTTGCCCAGGTGAGCGCCCAATCCCACGTCCAAAGCGTCCGTGACCAGCTGCACTGATGGGGACGGCTTGGTGAATCGGACCCCCGCACACACCGTGCCCTCGTCTTTCCACCAGTCCAGCGAACGAAGAATGTCCTGAGGGATGGTCACTACCGCGTCTAGCGGCGACCTCAAGGGGTTGTGCGCTACCTTGAGCCACCCCTGCAATGGGCGCATGCGCAGCCTGGCGTGTTGGACCACGTAAGTGCCCGCCGCCATGTGGCCTAGGAGCCTCATGCAGGTCCTCGCCGTCGTAGTCGGGAACTCCTGCAGCCCCACTACCAGAGAGCGAATGGTCATAAATCTGTCTCTC